CAGTAGGTTTTCAACAACACGAATATGGTACAAACGTGCTTTTATACTAGCACTTTCTTTAATTCAAATGATTTTTGTAATTGATTAATTTTATTTCATTGGCATTAAATCGGATATTTTTTTGCTTTCTTCATTGTATGTAAAATTATGGCAGACAGACGAATTTTTGGTAATCAAGTCCTATTGATTTAAATGTCTGCAGCGTAAACTGCATAGACTCATTCAGACTAACAACACGCATAAAAGAATGTTTATAGAACATGGAGCATTCAAAAAGTGTTTGACTTATACTTATTACTTATACTTATTTATGTATATAACTAGACATTTATGTCTTACTGATTACCAAATAAAGGTAATTAATGTTTGAACTCATAAACAATGCGTGTAAAGCAAGAAAAGTTTGGTAGTTCAAAACTGACCAGAGTAGGTAGTTTGTCGTTTTTCAATATATAACACAATTAACTTCAAGTAAAGTTTCAATTAGATGGTCGAGTAAACATGATTGTTATACTGTACCTGACTTAAAAGTACGGCTGTTTCTTGTAGCTGATGAGTTCGGGCCTTTTGAAAGCTTTTTTGCGAAACGACAGGAAGGCATGATTTTCCGAAACGACCTAAACTCCCGCAAGACTCAACAGTTTCACCCAGTATAATATAAGAGTACGATTAGTAGCTAGTCGACCAGATGGTCGATAGGATGCTATTAACTTCTTAATTCTGTGCTTTTGTAATCGCATTTTTTAGTTTTTTTTGTGCTAAAATTTATTTTATGTTGTTTCCCTTTGCAAACTGATTTCCGTTTTTGTTTCTGGAGTACATCGTTATAATTGTGTGCATCCCATTTTAGCAAAAATCTATTATATCATCATGTTGCATTTTCCTATTTCTTACCCGTTTTGTGTAACTCGCAATCTTCATTTAGCGATCTGTTTAAGACATTTTGAGATATACGTAAAGAGGGCTATATTTAAAAATTTTGCTTCCAGCTCCTGAGAGGTTAATAAATTATGATAAAACCTAATAAATTAGCAAATTGAGTCCGCATATTACTACTTTTGTTCATTATTTCTGAGACATTTGCTTTAAACCTGGACTGCATCGGAAGTTGAAAATTTCAGTACTAACTTTTTAAAAGAAGGATTTTCTGCAGAAGCTCAACTGGGGACTACAACACTCGAGCGGCTCTATCGAAAAGCTCCTAATGGTTATTGAGATATTTTTAATCGTTGCCGAGATATGAGGTCTTATACTTTGACGACTCCTCAAAAATTTGGTTTGTCACTCTTTAAAGGTTGAGAATATCTGAAAAAGCTGAATTATTGAAAAACAATATTTTAGACAATAGAGCGGGAAGGTTTCAGTAAGAAATAAGAAGATGCAGTTTCTATTCTAGTATGCAGAATCAAGAAATCAATTTATAAATATGGACGCAAATTTTCCGAACCTTTTCTTATTGACTTTGCAATTTCTTTGGTAATACTCATTGGTGGTGTTGCAAGAAATTCAGCATCTTCAAAAAAGGCACTGTAGTAAAAAAGTATTTCAGCAGTCATAATTTATTAGCAAACTTAGAAAAATGTGCGAAAATACAGCAGTAAATCTTATAAGCTGTTCCAATAGTC